TAGATTTACACACAGCTAATAATCTGTTTTCAATCTTTTAAAACAACTAGTCCTTATTTATTGTAAGGGTTCACTGCAGACATGGTGCTTCTGCAACAGCAAACTGAAAGCTTTGAATAATTCACGTTTTCTCTTAATCATTGCCACTTCTTGCTGTTTTGTGTTGCAGTAGCATCATAAAAAGACTAGTGGAGCAACATCTTTAAGAAGAGATAATTATAAAGTTTGCACTTCACCAAAGTGACCTTAAAAACACTGAACATGTTGCAATATACAATCATTCACAAGTTCTCTCGAACATCACTTGGCTGCAATTCTTTCTCAACAATAAGGTTTAGCAAAATAGCTGCAGTTATGGATATTTTAATCTTTGATAAAGAATGTCGCTTATTAGCTGCCTCATTTGACCTTTTCATACTGAAATGTGTTCAAGAAACCTTCTATGCACTAACGCATTATAATCTCTGCAAATCGTATGTTATTTATATGACTAGCATACTGAATAAATGAAAGCCAACACACAACCCAAATGAAATATCAAAAATTCGGAAGTCACAGTGTGTTATAGTATGGAAGTAGTCAATGTAAAGATTATGGAATCTGCAGACACATAATATGGGACTTGCTGAGATATCAAGTTGGCTTTAAAGACTCAAGGTCCCTCAAATAAAATCAAACACTTCATTTGGGATTTTCAATATAGGGATTTTCACACCCTCAAATTTCAAACAGGATCACAGATGTTTAGATTTTTTCCATCACATTCATGAAATTGTCAGAAATGGCCGACTGTTTTTGTGTTAATTCAATTATTCAACTGTGGTTTGAATTTGGATCTGTTTCTATTTGCTCCATATTTCTATCCCAGGAGACGAGAGTAATCATGGGTGGAAGAGAACGATCAGAAAGCAATATGAATCCAACTTCACGGTTGCTTACGGGACATTGCTTTTTGCAATGTTGCTGCTGCAATCGCCTACAAACAGACAGTCACTACATTTTACAGCAAACTCTGAAGTGCTTTGGTATGGTAAGGCACTGTATCAAATGCAACCATTATTATTATTATTATTATTTATTCCAAAAGACATTCAAAATCATTAGATTTGCTAACAAAGTCAACTTGTGATAAGGGAACCATCAATAAATTGAACAGTAGAATGCCCAAAATGTATACTATGTCCTACTATGTACCCATTCAACCAGAATGCAGTTAAATTCCCAGTGCGAGTGCTTTTGCTGACTGCCCAACCATAAAACACTGGCAGGTATCTCTGGTAGCATGTGGTGTGGTTTTACATGAAGCACACATGATTAACTTCTCATCCCACAAATATGAAAAAAGGTTTACTGAATTGTAAAACAGGACTTTTCACGGTGCAATTTTGACCTCTTTTATAAAGAAATTATTTCATACTTTCATTTAAGCCGACTAAATCATTTCACTTTAATATTATCCTCTGTGCAAGTTACATCAGCGAGTCAATTATTAAAAGTTCCAGTGTAGTTTGAGAACTGTAGGAGTTTCAAAATAATACTCCCTGCAGTTGATATAACAACCTTCACATCAGGAGAAAATCTCAAACAACTTCATAGGATTTGTTGTAGAGGGCAGTGACCCTGTATTCCGTAGACAAATACAGCAGCATTTTTTTGCACAATATCCGACAAGGTGAAATAATTCACTAATGCATTGCATCTGTATAAAAGATTCAATCTTCAGGGATTTAAAAACTGAATCATATAAAAAAAACTGATTCAGGAATAATCAAACCTATAAAAATTCAATACAATACTCTATATGAATGGAACTTTATAAAATGGAATTTAAAGAATGGAGATGAAAATATTGTCTTTTAATATAGTAGGTGATTTGATAACTGCAATGCTTTTACTGTCAAAAGGATTAACAAAAATATAAAATAGGTGGCTGAAATGTTTTCTAATGATTTGTGGCTTTTGAGTTTAACACTTGGGTATGTTCCAACTTGCAGGATGTTTTGTTATCTCGATGGAACTAATGCTGAAAAGAAATGGTCCATACAATAAAAAAAATTAACATAAGAGAAGCACAACTATATGTCTGTCTCAGTATAATTGCAACAAAAGGTTTATGCAATAGTCATTTGATAATCCAGGCAAGTTTGTGAAATGTGTTCATGCTTAAATTATCAGCATTCTCACCTATGCATCAGATGATTGCGAGTTCAATCCCCACGTGGCAACTTTAAGCTCGCAGTTCAGGCTGGCACTTCAATGCAACACTGGGGGAGCACTATATTGTTAGGGGTGCCATTATTTGGATGAGACATCAAAACCACTTGGCTGCCTGTTCAGGTGCGTGTTAAAGGCACCCATAACTCTATTTGAAAGAGAAGGGAATGAATTTCTCCAGATGTTCTGGCCAATAATTTCCCCACATAAAATTGGTGATTAATTTCATTGTTGTTTGTGGGTCATTGCTGTATTCACCTGCAAAATAAACAGTTACTGCACTTTACAGTAACTCCTGTGATGTGCTTTCAGATGTGCACAGTAACATTTTGCATTAAAATTATTGATTAGATTGTTTAAGTTAATGCAATGTGAATTAAGGTAGGTTTGCTCTATATTAAGATATTTATAGCCATTTGATTTGAATAAACATTGATTTAAATAAACACTTAAAGAGCTGAACAGTCTTTCAGCGGGCAAGTGCATTAAATGTGGTTGTCCTGAACTTAAGTGTGCAATGCAAGGCAAATAAGGTTTTAAATGATTTACAAGCATTTCTCCTCGTATATCAGATAGAATTTTGTCACAGTGATCAAGCACAGCTTTAAAAATTCTTGTAAAAGCTCTAGTCATGATCAGACAAACACGTTTGTGCAATACAGAGCTAGCAGCTGTGTCAAACACAATAGTGATGTCACCTGTTGCTGTACACAGTGAATAGCTTCGAAACCACAGGTAGTATTCTCAGTGGCTGCAAACCGACAATTACTTTCAATGGTACAAAAAGGTTATTCTAGCTTTCAGTTTCCTGAGGTTTTTAAATCTTTTGTATATGAGAATATAGTGTGTTTGAAATATAGTGTGGTCCAAGTATGATATCTTTGCAGCTCTCTCTCTCTCTCACATGCACACACATTTATTTTATTCCTCTTATGTAAATAGTTCCTTCTGTCTTTGATTTTACAGAAACCAGGAATTGCAGAAAATAATCCAATTAAAGATCCTGCCCCATCAGAGAAGAAGATTGCATAACCTCAGAGTTTTTCTGTGCCCTATGATAAAAACAGGTTACCCATTGTAAACAGATATTGGTTTTGTTAATGAAAACAGCTCAACTGATATTACAGTAGTTCAATATAATTAAGCAAGTAAGCTTTAATTACGGGTTTAATTATATTAAAATGCTGTAATGTCAGTCAGTTTATAACAATCTATGCAATGATTTAGCTCCTCATCATGTTGTCAAGGCATCTCAAAGCACTTCACATGATTTTACTGTGAGGTGTAGTGACAGTTATTTGCAGGCAAATGCAGCTACGAATCCCACAAATAGCCATGAAGTGAATGACCAATTTTATTTGGCGATTGTTGGCGAGAACACTGGGGAAAAAAAAATTCCCTTCTCCTTTCGAATAGTGCCATAAGGATCTTTAACGTTCACCTGAACAGGCACGTGTGATCAAAATTTAATATCCCATCCGAAGGGCAGCACCTCCAACAGTACTAAACTAAATGCCCATCATCCCAAATCTCAATAATGCAAAAAATGCATTCGCTCAAGTCCAGAAGTCCATATTATAAATGGTGTTGGTTAAATTTCAAATGATTACCACTTTAATATTGGATTTCTATAAACCCTGGGGAAACGTCATTATTATTGATTTTAGAACATTACTATTAGCCTCACTTTAATCAGATTGCTTCTGATCAATTTTTTTTCACGAATGACATAGCTTCAGACAGGAGATTTTTTCGTGTCGAGACACGACGGCGGTGTAAATGGAAATGATGCACTCTCTCTGATACTTGATGTTAGCATTTGTAACAGATCTTTTTGTGTCAAAAGTTTCTCTTGGCTTGTTTTCTGCTTAAACCTCAGCCATGAAATACCGTACATCCAGTATTCATGATTTCTCTGAGGGTATTTATTACACAGCTCGAGAAGTCGAAAGAGATGATCATCGCCACAGATTTAATACAACATTTACCTTAAACACACATTGCTGCAACTCCCCACCCCCCTCTCTCTCCTTCTCTGTGCGAAACTCAAAGGAGTTCAGAAAGGAGCGTAAAGGTCAGCAATAATGAACTCGCAACGAGAGTTTGGATGGAGTCCGGATTACAAGAGTAAACTTGATGTGGATCCTGACCCCCAAATGGGGTCTTGGCTGAAACACCAATTTCAAGAAGTAAGCTGCGAGATGCAAAAGAAAAAAACCCCACCAATGCGAGTCTTCGGATCTGTGAACCGAGAGCTCCAAAATACACAGTTTGGGTGACAATCTCACACTTACAACAGAGTATTTATTACATTCCCTTCTGCAGAAATCGTGTTAACACTCGCGTGTCTTGTTACATCGCCAGAGAAAAAAGGACATGCATATATACATATATATATATATATGTTAAACACACATTTCTACAGCAGCCACCGGAGTCGAGCCTCTCGCACCCTTTTGCCCGAGCAATATTTACGATTAATGCAAAAAAAAAAAAAACCCTCTCCCACAAAGTAACTCTCGGTCACCATAGCAATCCTGATGGGAGTTGATACCCATTGCGTTGGGTTCAGTGGATTCGGCGGTAAGTCACGCAAAAGCAGCAGCAGCTGAACCTAACCCCACATCAGCCACGACTGGTGCTGATGTGGGATCTCCCCAACCACGGCTCCTTTGTTGGGCGCATCCTGAAGCCGAACCCGGTCACAGTCCTTCCTCCCACCGCGGCCGTGTAAAGGGTTCAGGCGAAACCGTGGTGTGGGTTTCACGTCTGAACTCTCGCCTTACCTTTGGCAGCATCCTTGTCTTCTTTTGGTTTGGTCACTTTTCCACTCATAGATCCCAGTTTGGATGCGTGATTCCTAAGCGAGTCTTGGGTGGCGGTGGTGGTGGTATTGGGGGGGGAAAGGTGGGGGGTGGAGGAGGAAATCCTGGGGGAGAAGGGAACACGTGGGGGAGATTGAGGTGAACTAAAGCCTTGTGTCTCCTGAAGCTGAACCGGGGTTGGGGGGGGGGGGGGGGGGGGGGGGATGGATGCCTTCGATCGATCTGCACACAGGTTCCTTTTTTATCTGGTAATGGCTTTTTTTCTCTCTCTCTGTGTCTCTCCTCTCCTCTCTCTCTCTCTCTCTCTCTGGGGCTGTTTTTTTTTCTCTCTCCTTTCTTTTCCCCTCTGTGTGTGTGTCGTGTGTGTACCTGTCGAGAGACACACAGATGAGCACAGGGACAAATTGGTATTTCTTTCTCCCGAAGAGCATTTATTTACCACTGGATTCTGAGCGCATATACACACACACACACAATATATACACACACACACACAATATATATACACACACACACACAATATACACACACACACAATATATATACACACACACATAATATACACACACACACACATAATATACACACACACACACAATATACACACACACAGTATACACACACACACAATATACACACACACACAATATACACACACACACAAAATACACACACACATAATACACACACACATAATACACACACACATAATACACACACACATAATACACACACACACACATAATACACACACACACATATAATACACACACACATATAATATACACACACACATATAATATACACACACACATATAATATACACACACACATATAATACACACACATATATAATACACACACATATATAATATACACACACACATATAATATACACACACACATATAATACACACACATATATAATACACACACATATATAATACACACACACATATATAATACACACACACACATATAATACACACACACATATAATACACACACATAATATACACACACACATATATAATACACACACACATATATAATATATATACACACACACACACAAGGAGAGGAGACAGACGCCGTTGCCCTCAGCTCTATTGCTGACCGAATGACGTGCGCTTTATTCGTCACATCATGTAATCTTCACTCAATCGCTCAACACAGGAATCCAATCGAAGTATCGATGACTATATATATATATCGGTATAATAATATGTATATAATATACGTAAAACGCCTCCACGCAATGTTTTTATACCCTGTGGTGTTGAACCGATTTGTTTTTCTCTCCAATTAAAAAGCCAACAGCGAAACCCATCGACAAATAGCAAAACATTAAAGGGAAATAAATGCAACCGATGAAGCAGACACAACCCCATCCCCCACCACCCCCCACCCACACCCCCCAAAAAAAAGAAAAAACCTCCTCGTCTAAATCCACCACAAACCCCCGATGCAATGCTTTGACATTGTCGATCGTTCCACATTATCTCTTGATTTTCCCCCAAACACACACACACACACACACCCCTCCACTTGATTTTTTTTCTCCCTCTTTCTCTCTCTTTGCCTAATCTAATCGCCATTTTAATGAGATTTTTTTTTAATAATACAGTGTTCGCTTTATCTACGGTCTCGCGTGTCGATCCCTTACCTCGTCTCGGCTCAGTTAAGAAAACAAAGGCAATCGATGGCTTAAAACCCCCGACTGACTGTGTGCTCCAGATCAGCGGTGCAACACAACCCGCTATTTGCTAAATGACTGTAGTAAATGAGCCGACAACGTGCGCTTTGTAACGTCAGATCAGATAAGACAAGAGACTGGACAGAAAGGGGGGAGAGAGAGAGAGAGAGAGGGAGGAGAGAGAGAGAGAGAGGGTGGGCTGTAGGAGCAGACAGACAGACAGACAGACAGAGAGAGAGAGAGGGGGGGAGAGAGACTGAGGGATGGAAGGAAAAAAAAAGAGAGGATTGCATAAAGAGACCACACACAGAGAGAGAGAGAGAGAGTGAGTGAGTGGGGGGAGTAGAGACCTCGACTATCTCCATCCAGCACAAGAATCTGCGTGAACAAAGAGTACCTTTCAGCAGCACTGCTTTTATTTAGGGAGTGCAATTGGTGGATATATCTCTCCCCCCCACCCACCCCCACCCCCCCACCCCACCCCCTCTCTCTCTCCTCTCTCTCTCTCTCTCTCCAGCTGTTGTTAAATTCACAATGCATTAGATCAACAGATGAGACTGCTCTGTTTAGCCTCTCTCTACAGTACAGTTGCACAGTCGGGTGGGTTTCCAGCGAACAGGACAAGATCGCTAATTTTTTTTTTAAACGTGAGCCCCCTCGAGAGTCCGCGGATTTTTATTATATGCATTTTGCCCGTGAGATGCAATTTAAAGGTTGTCATGAAATAGGGGTCTCGCACTGGTTTACACGCGCGCGCGGTGTTCGTTTCGGGTGTTCTGTCGTGTGATGGAAGCACTTGTTTTAAAAGATGCCGAACTTCACCTTTTTTTTTTCTTTCCCCCCCAAACCCCCCCCCCCCACCCCCACTCCCACCCCCCACTCTGGAAGCAATGCTGCAGCTTCATAACGCTGCGTGAGGTCCCACTCTCTGGCCATCACTGAGCCGCTGACACACTGCTATCTAAGGGGCTCCCAGTCGGGCTCTGTGTCATATTCCACACCAGCATTTGGAGGAACTTTCTCTCAAAATAGCACCGATGCCTTTAAACTTGGTTTTGAAACCTTGTATTTAGTTATTTTATACCACCGGTTATAGTTTTGTTCCACGTTATCTTCAATCTCTTGGAGAGCTCGCGTTTTTCTGGCTGTGCCTATTTTTGAACTGCTTTTATTCACAAAAAGCCACAGTGCTCGATATTGCATAGGCATTTCAATTGGATTAATATTTAGTGTTTTTTGCGTTTGACCGTCGGTTGTAACCAATGGTCCCATTTTCATTAAACTACCTGTGCTTTCAACGGTAGTGCATTTGGTACTAACATTGGAGTTGCAAAATGATTTACAATACAAACTCCTCATTTACTCATTTAAATCAGTAAGAGGAAATATGAAAGAAGTATCAATATACATTAAAGCCTGTTCCAATTACATACTAATGATAATGGGACCTTCAACCCAATTAGTCTGCAAGAGTTGTAATTAACTACAGTTACTTTCAACCAACAATCCAAGGGAAGTAATTGAAATGGCTATTCATTGTGAAATAATGTTGCACTAATTGTAAGATGAGGGTCAACTGAATCTAATGTCAGTTCTGAAAAGCCTATTTAGACTTTAGTCTACTTAGTCTATTGAAGGAGCTTTTCCAAAGCCTCCGTTTGGTCCAATTCTTCATAAATCGCTTTACTTCAATGTCCAGAAGAAATTTCAAATCAAAGGTGCAAATTATGGGAGTCTCTTTCTTCTCCCTGCCATGTTTAACATGCCTTTGATTTAAACCCTCAGAAATTTGTAAGGTAGCACTTTTGAGGGTCAGAATTATTGAAATATCACAGAATGATACTCACTTTGGAAATGCAAATTCTTATGAACCCAATTAATATGCCTGTAAATCAGTTGCTTGAGAATGATATTGGAGATTGCATCTACTTGCTCAACAAAATACTCAGCAAAGCTATAATTTCACTAATTGTCAGTTAATCAACCACAACAACTTGCATTTATCTACTGCCATTCACTTAGGGTAGAGTCTTGGAATGCTTAACAGTGGCAGCAGGCGCTCGCAGCATCAGCCTCCAGGGCTGCACACTCAACCTCACTAAGCCAGTCAGGAACTTGGGTATCCTGTTTGACCCTGAACTGTCCTTTCTCCCCCACATCCGCGCCATGACCGGCACTGCCTACCACCACCTCTGCAATATTGCCAGACTCCGCCATTGTCTCACCCCTCAGGCTGCCGAAACCCTCACCCATGCATTCGTAACCTAAAGGCTTGATTACAGGAATTCCCTCCTCATCGGCCTTCCCAACTCTTCCCTTCACAAACTGCGGACCATCCAAAATTCTGCAGCTTGTGTACTCTCGTGCACTGGCTCCGTGACCCCATCACTCCCACCCTTGCCCGCCTATACTGGCTCCCCATTCCCAGGAGGATCGAGTTCAAGATCCTCGTCCTCACCTTTAAGACCATCCATGGCCTTGCCCCCTCCTATCTCTCTGACCTGCTGACTCCCTACCAACCTGCCCGCTCCTTCTGTTCATCGGGCTCCGGCCTGCTCCATGTTTCCCGCCCGACCTGCCCTACCATCGGTGGCTGGGCTTTCAGCCTCTCTGCCCCCACGCTCTGGAACTCCATCCCACGGTCCCTTCGCCTCGCTTCCTCCCTTGCCTCCTTCAAGGCCGGTCTTAAGACCCTTCTCTTCTCGTGCCTTTGGTTTCCCTCCCACCTCTCTGCCTTCCCTCATCCCTACACCACCCCTCTCCCATGCTCAGGCCCTGCCACCTGACTGTTCAGCGCTTTGGGACGTCCTCCCGACGTGAAAGGCGCTCTATAAATGTAATTTTGTTTTTGTAGTGGAGGAGCCTGACACTGTGTGGGGGGTGGTGGGGGGTTGGGGGGAAGTGGGAGTTGGGAGGCAACTGTAAGTATGGTCAAAGAGAAAAGGCTTCAGGTGTTGCCTGAAATTGGGGAAGGTAGGAGCAAGGAAGCAGGATCGAGGGAGAGAGTTCCCAAGTTTCGGGATGTAGCGGTTGAAAGCATGGCCACTGATGGTAGAGAGGAGGGGACAAGGGACAAGGAGGAAGCCGGAGCCAGCTTCTGAGTGGAGCCAGCGGATGGTGCATTTGGAATAAGCAGATCAGAGAGGTTGGGAGGTGCCAGGTTGTGAAGGGATTTGTAGATGAGTGTGAGGATCTTGAAGTTGATCCTTTCTCCACTAACCAGCGGAGCTCGGAATGGTCTAGTGCAATGAGGATAGAGATCTGTGACATGTGATCTAGACTTTGCTTGGAAGTTTATGAGTTAAATAAGCAGGTGGGAACTTTAGCTCAATGTGTAATGCAGGTTAGATACTCAGTTTAGTACGTGGAGAGTGCTGCATTGTCAAGAGAT